AAAAAAAAAAAAAAAAAAGGTGAAAAGAACGCAAAAGCAAACTTTCGTGCTCTAGACAATTGCATCTTAGATGTGACACCAAAAGCACAAGCAACAAAATAAAAGCAGACACTTGGAATTTCGTGCTCCTAAGGACATTATCAAGAAAGCACACGGGCAGAGAAGACCTCGGAATATGCCAGGAACCACCAGCACACTCTGCTATGGGCGCACGGCCAGGCACGCAAACTGTCTCACACACACACACACACACACACACACAGAGACACACACACGAAGTGCACCCAGCTCTCTGACTCTATCGAGGGCCACACACTGTGCTAGCGCCCCAATATATTTAAACCCACGAAAGGGCTGAACCATGTCCACCACAGTGCCACCAGCACCCACACCAGGCTCCAGGCCAGCAAATGGTTTCAAGAGCCTGGCTCTCCCAGGTGGCTCACGACACCTGCACTCCAGCTGTGCAGACCCAAAGCAGGGCCCTGCCTCCAGGTGCCGGGTGCAGAGCTCTCAGGTGGGAAGCGGTGGCACAGGTGCAGAGTGCCCTGCAAGCCCAGCCCCAGCAGCTCTGGCCAAGAGCCACCTCCACGCAGGTCAGACGCAGCCACCTCGGAGTGCCAAGACGGGCCCTTGGGGCTGAGCTGGGGTCTGCGGACCAAAGGGCCCAGCCCCAGGACGGCACGGCCTACCTGGGTGGCGGCGGAGACCGGGGCTTTGGCTTGTCCTTGTCCTTCTCCCGCTCCTTGTCGCGGTCGCGGTCGCGGTGCTGTCTGTCCTTCTCGTCGCGCTTGGCTCGCTCTCGCTCCCCCTCCTCCTTCCTCCGCTGCCGCTCTTTGTCCCGCTCCCGCTCGCGCTCGCGCTCCCGCTCCCTCTGCCGCCGCTCCCGCTCTCGGTCTCGCTCCCGCTCCCGATCCCGTTCGCGCTGTCTGTTCTCACGCTCGCGGTCCCTGTCCCTTTCCTTCAGAAAAAGCCAACGGCACAGTGCTGTGATTAAGGCTGTGCAGTAGAACAGAGGGAGGGTGCCGCGGGAGTTCCTCAGGTCACGACTCCCAGTCCAGGGTTGGCGGCCACACTGAGTGCCATCTCCCAGTCCTCGTGTCCAGAACGCTGACACCACAGTGCACAGGAGCACTGCAGCAGGACAAGGCTCCCTCCTCGGGCTGGCACTTGGAAGAGTGGGCCTGGCTACCACCATCCTCCAGCACTGATCCGTCTACACCCCAGCAGTCAGCGTTAGAGCAGAACAAAGTCCAACCATGCACACGGGACACTGGTGTTCCTACTGCTGCCTGTCCCTGGACACGGCAGAGGATCTGGGGACAGGTGGTGCCAGAGGCTCACGCTAGGGTCCTTTAGGACTATAGGGTCATCTGCAGCCACCACCTGATGGAGCTGGAGGCAAACGCTTGGCTCTGCTACCCGAGGCACAGCACCCACCCTGCTCAAGGGCTTCTCAGGGACCCTTTCCATGCCACCCAAGAACGAGGATGGATGGGGCACAGGGGTCAGAGGCAGCTGAGCTCCACTGGACCCAGGGAGCATGGGGCCAGAGGGGCTAGAAGGGGCACTGCAAGGAGCAACCCCGAGGGGACCTCCAGGAGCAACAGGATCAGGGGGGCGAGGCAGCTCTGGACACTGGGTCAGCACCTCGTGTGTGCCCCGAGTTTACAGTCAGAGCACAAGCAGAGCTTTCCAGAACCCTCTGTTCAGACCGCCAGATTTAAGCTGGGGATTCAAACTGTCCTCCATGAATAATGTGGGCTTGATTTTAGGACTTGGGCTCAGCTAGTACATTGTGCCAACAAGATAAGCTCGCATAAATCCCTGTAAATAAAAAGGGGTGATTTGGGCCATATGCAAGAGACTGAGATAGGAGAGTCAGCAGTTCAAGGCCAGCCTGGGTAACCAGTGAGACCCTATCTCAAAACAGAATGGGGAGTGGCTTTAATGGGGAGACCAATGACATTCACGTCCCCATAAGTGAGTCATACTTACTCGGTAATTATGATACGGCTCTGCATCTGTGTATTGCACCCTAAAATTCTCATATTGTCCACCACGCCAAAACCGCTCTATTTCATAGTCGTAGTAAGGATCTGCGTAAGGCTCAAGTCTGAAAAAGGAGACAATAAGAAGGAACTCATTACTTAGGGACACTAGGATGAAAATTCTACACAAAATGCAAACAAACAGAACCCAACACATCAGAAAAATAATACCCTGTGACCAGGCACGATATGTTCCAGGAATGCAAGGCTAGGTCAGTTTTAGGGGATCTAGTCACATGCTACCCACACCAGCAGACCTGAGAAGCCACAGGATTACAGGCGTGGATGACAGAAACGTCAGTGACAAATCTTCAATACCCACTCCGGGGAAATGGCGAAGAAAACAAGGAGAAATGTACACTTTCCTAAGAAGATTTAAAAACAAAGGCTAGGGATTTAGCTCAGTGGTGCAGCACCTGCTTTGAAAACAAAAGGTCCTGAGTTCAATCCCTAGTACCAAAAAAAAAAAAAAAAAACGAGAGAGAGAAGAATATGCATACTGTCTGAACTCCCAGCAGCACTCTTTCATAGTGGGGGTGGGGTGGGGGGTCCCTGGTGAACAGGAGGAGGCAGAACCGCTCCTCCAGGGGCACTGCCAGTAAAAGACAGCAGAGTGGACAAAAGGAGACGAAGATGCCAGAGGTACGGAAAGGCAGGCTATTCACGTGTGCCAGCTATGTAATCTGATACCTGAAACCCTAGAGCCCTGATGATAAAGTCACTTTACAAAGCAAGCAAGGAGCTTGGTAAGGCAAGAGGACAAAAACTAACACTCGCACCACGCCTGTCTTTAAAGCACAAGGTCCTGATTTCAAACCCTGGTACCAATAAATAAATACATAAAAAGCTAACACCTGGAAATTCAAGTCTTCCTGTAGCCACACAATTACCAGAAGGAGACAGTGAGTGGGGGAAATCTCTGCAGCAGCAAGCAAGGAAACATGCTCAGGGATAAGCACGATCAGCCAGAAACACATGGAGCCTATTCCAGAGAAGTAAAGAACATGTCACCAAGTGAGTGAGGCCCTCATCCCAGCTCCAGCTCCCAAACGTGAGAGCACCGAGGGTGGACCTCCCTCCTCAGTAGGGTCAGACAAGCTGGCACCAACCACACAGACACAAGACCAGCCAGGAAGTCCTGCGTGAGAAGATGGCACTCAGATACTTAGCCGCCTAAAGCCCCACAACGACCCACACCCTCGCAGCACATGCAGAACACACAGTTGACAGATGAAAAGCACAAAGTCCAGAGACTGACCAAGGATGCACACAGGGGTGGCCTCTCATGGGCCAGGGGGTGTGTCACTGAGCAGCGGGGACATGGGCCTACCACAGGTAAGTCTCCTGGAGTGCCCGCCCACAGCTCTCAACCTCACTGCACCTGCGCCACTCCCTGCTCCTTTCCCTGGGTGGGGAAGGGGAAGGGGTGCACACTTCAGAAGGGCCTGGCGGCACCTGTAGGGCAGCTGGCTGCACTTAGGGACTCTCCCTGCAGGACCACAGAGTAGCCTATTCATTCTTAACAGCCCAGCGTCACAGAGTCTGCCATTCATGGTGCTCCCGTGTGCCAATACTCCGCAGTCACGCCTATGGTGTGAGTGGTATGCAGCATGGCACACAGCCATGCAGAGAAGTGTGTCCTGAGCAGGCTTTTCCTTGGATCCTAAAAAACCAGAGGCCATGTGCAGCCAACCAGGACTAGTACAGTCATGGTCCTGACAGGAAGGCAGCACCAGCGACTCCTTTTGGGAAGCTGATTTAAGTGAAACAAAAGGCTTCTGGCAACACGCCAGGGACAGGGTACATGGCCATTTGGCTGCCTTCACACACTCCAGAGATAATGCATGCGGCCACCCAACTTCCTGTGCTCACGCTGGGAGCACAGGCCACAGAGCCTCCTGGGTACACAGACACCTCGCACCATGGTTTCCAGACCCAAAGCTCTGGGGAGGGGCCCATGAAGTGGACCTAGCTGTGTCTGGAAAGGAGGTCTGAGGTCCTGCCCTGCAAGGGCACCACAGCCCATGCTAGAAAGAGGTATGGCAGGTGATGAGCACAGCTGAGGAAGAAGTCAGGAGTTCCGAGCAGGGAGTGTAACGATCACACAGTTCAACTGCTTCATTCAAAGAGGACAAAACCGAAGCCCAGAAACCCAACATTCGAGCTGGAGTGGGAGGGACTCAGCAGGCATGACCCCGCCCCACCAGCAGTAGAGTTGTACCACAGCCCGCACCAGCAGGGCCACGTGGGTGCTGGTTCCGGCTGGAGGCTCTGGCCCTGCTTCTAAACCCCGTGGCTCTACTGGCCCAGCTCCCTCACAGTGCCTAGCGATTTCTTCCTGTCTCTGTGCCAAGCAGGCTCATGTCTCCCTGCCTGCTGGGCACTCCAGCAGCAGCAGGGGGTCCTCATCAGCCTCTGACTGGAGGCCCAGACGAGCTGAGGGACTGGAGGAACTCCAGCCCCACATGCAGAGCACCCAGCATCCAAGTGCTCAGCCCCAGACTACTTCGAAGGGCTGGTGACACCTGCCTGCGCACTGGGGGCCCAGATGGCCTGGGCATGGCACTGCCTCCACTCAAGGACATTTTAAGACCCTGTGCCAGCCAGGCGAAGCAGTTAGGGTATCAGGGACCAGCCCTCTGCCTCCAAAACCCCTTCCGCCATGCACATTCAAATGAACATGCACATTCAAAGCGCTCTGTGTCATCAAAGTGCTCCATCCACCTGACTGACGTGTGGCAGCCTCACAGACAATATGATGAATGGTCAAAAATTCACTACAGGAAAAAAAAAAAAAAGACAGTCGGGCGTGGTGGCGCATGCTTCAAAACCCCTTCCGCCATGCACATTCAAATGAACATGCACATTCAAAGCGCTCTGTGTCATCAAAGTGCTCCATCCACCTGACTGACGTGTGGCAGCCTCACAGACAATATGATGAATGGTCAAAAATTCACTACAGGAAAAAAAAAAAAGACAGTCGGGCGTGGTGGCGCATGCTTGTAATCCCAGCACTCGGGAAGCTGAGGCAGGAGGATCACTGTGAGTTCGAGATCAGCCTGGGCTACACAGTGAGTTCCAGGTCAGTCTCAAGTACATAGTGAGACCCTGTCTCAAAAAAACCAAAAAAAAAAAAAATTTCACTACAGGGCCAGGGATGTAGTTCAGTGGTTCTGCCACCTGCCTCGCAAGCTCAAGGAGGTCCTCAGTTCAATCCCCGGTACCAAAAAAGAAACAAAAATCACTACAGTGAAAGGCACACTGCGCCATGAATCCCCCTCAAAATGCCTTCCCTCACTTCACACACATTCATCCTGTTATCTCGCCACTTTCTGAAGCAGTGCTGGAGCCTTCTTTCCTGAGGGTCTTTATAAGGTGGGATCAAAAACATAATGAATGTTGCCACCAAGTGCCAGTCAGGTGCAAGGAAGCTCTTAAAAGCACGACATGTGTCCTCACCCTCATTCACTGAATCTGACACCATACCACCTCTGACTCCTCCCTCAATTCAGAAAAAAAAAAAAAGAGAAAGTGAAATGTTCTGAATCCATTCAGGACTTCTAGGTAATCACAACAGCATAACTAACACATGAAAGAAGGCTTCCAGAACAGCTGCAGGAAGTGGCAAGAAAGAAGAGGAACCCTTTTAATCAACTGTAGGTTGTTTAAAATAAATTCCTAAAACTTAATGAAAAAAAGAAAAAGAAGAAAGAAGGGGTGTGTATAAGTGAGGGAGGTTAATGGCAATGCATCTTTTACTGTAATGAGTTAAAACAATTTTTGCACATTCACTGTGATTTTCAATCACACCTCATACACGAGATCCCATGGTGACCTCACAGCCAACCAGCCAGCCAGGCTTGGGTCTGACACTGTCTATGTGCAGAAAATAATCAGTGCAGTCTCCTTGGTGGGGCCACATCCCAGACAGTCTGCGGAGAGCACCGAGCACTCACACAGCTTCCTCCCTTACACTTACGATGAGGTTCAGTTCGCAAATCAGGCACAGGAGGAGATTAAAGAGATTCACAACTAACAACACAGCAGAGCGATCGTAACGATGTGCTGTAATCACTCAGACCCTCTGAAGTGCTTATTTCTGGAATTTTCCACTTAGTATTTTAGAGTGCAAGTAACTGACCCAGTAGAACGCAAAGCCCTGATCAGAGACAGATCTGAATGCCCTGGTGAAGCCGCTCTCTCCGTCCTCTGTGCTGACGCCTGCCGAGGCAGCGCTTAGGGGACAACCGGGGCTGACACATGTGCATGGCATACGCCTCCCTCCCAGCCTGAGATCACAGAGACCGAGCCTTCCTGACCGCAGCCTGAGTCACGGTGCACAGCTGGAGAATAAGCTCCCATGCCAGCACGGGCCCTGCAGAGATGGCAGCCCCACCCCTGCTGCTTGGCCTGTCTCCCGCCCTCCCCATGAGAGACATGTGGGGGGCAGCAGGGTACAGGGGCAGTGCGTTTGAGGCCACACAACTCCCTGATTCCATGTGCTTCTCCCATTATAACTTCTGAAGACCAGCAAGGAATGAGAAGGGAGCAAGAAAAGAGCAGGGTAAGAGGACCTAGCTGCTGTGCTTTCACGTTACCATGACAAACCAAGGTTCCTGGACCTTGTAACAGGCCAGGGGCAGAGGGCAACGACAGAACCCCGGGACTCCAAAGTTCAGGGACAGCTTGGAGGACCACAGGGCTGCACACCACACATAGCCCAAAGAAAGCAGACACCAGGCACAGGAGCAAGGCCTGCGGTGGGACAACAAGCAGGGTCCGAATTAGCTTAGGGCACTGCCGCCTCCAGCAAGGGTGGGCAGCACAGCCTCAGCAGTGTCCTGTGACCCAGGGGCACCTGGTTTCCTTTCAGGAGGGAGGAAGAGGCAGAGCACTCCTTACGCTGTATCTCTGACATCTCTTGGGACCCGAGAATTCCAATCCCGGAAAACTTCATTTTCTTTGTCAAACTCCCGCTCATCTTCACCAATGGTCACTGTGAACCTTTTCTCTTCAAAATCAGGCTCTTGTTCTTTACGAATGGTTGCTTTTTTTAAAACCTACCATGGGAGGAAGAAGAAAATTAGGGTCAGAACTCAGGGGAATGCATGTAGCCTGAGCAGTGGCAGGACCACTAGGTTGGGGGCACAGGACTCCAGTGCCTTTCTGGGGAAGGGCTCGAAGGCAGCACGTCTGCCCATGAGCAGTGCTGCAGCTACAGTGTGCAGTGAGGCACAAAGGAGCTGTCACTTCCTGTCCTGGCCAGGGGACAGGACCAAGGAGTCCCAGGGAGGGCACATACACAGGCAGGGCTGAAGACAGGTGGGAGGGGGAAGGACTGTCGTCTGCACCTTGCTGAGGGGCCGACGCAGCACTGGGAACACTGGGTTCTAGGCTGCCAGGTGGGCACTGGAGCCAGGTGAATCTAGGAGAGCCCAAGGAAGCACAGGGACTCTGTGGAGATGGCAGGTGCTGGGCCCTGGCAGTGGGGAATGGGTCTATGTCCACTGGGCCTGCCTGGCCTGCTGGGGTGCACCGTGCCATAGGCCTCCTTGCAGAGCCATACACCACCACCTGTTCTTCAACTCTTAAAGGAAACCCAGAAATCTTCCTAACCCTCCCCCATGCCTTCCCTTGGGTGCTGGGGGACTGTTACCTCCTTCGCATGCCGGAGTCCACGTTCCCAGGCACTCTCTGTCGGGGGCTCCGGAGGGGGTGGAGGCAAAATTTCATCAACTACTGGCCCACCCTATGAAATGAGAAGGGAAAAGTTGAGAAAGCAAGTAAAACTATAAAACCTGTAAAGAAATAGGGGTGCACAAATCTCAACCGAAATACAAGCCAGGCACTCTCCCGCCCAAGCTGCAGGGTGCCCTGCTTCTGCTCGGTGCTGGCAGGAGCACCTGCAAAGGTCCCTGTGGCTCTCCAAGGTACACTGTCTGCCTCAGGCTGGAACCCACAGCATCTGGTGCCCCGCACGCGCGGGACGAGGGAACAGGTGTGCACGCACCCACGGGTTGGCAGGCATCAGGGGGTGAGGTCCGAGTGGCGGGGCACCGTTGGGCGGGAAGGGCTCAGCTTTGGTGATGAGGGAGTAGTTCCCCTTGTCGTTCACTCCGGGGTGTATGAACCTACAGTTCATCCCCCAGGTACAGTTCCCTGTGGAAACAAAGGCAGATCAGCAGGGCAGAAGCCTAAAGCAGATGGCTGCAGCTGGGTGGAGACAGTGGTGTGTGCCAGTTCTCCTGCTGGTCACTGGCTGGGGAGCGGGTGTGGGCCGAGCCTGGAGGTTCCACACGCAGGCTTCTGCAGCAGCGGGTTGGCAGGACAGCACCCCCTAGAGGAGGGCTTTGAAGTTCCAAAGTCACTGTAAAGGCAGAGTCCTCAGCTGAGGTTCCACCTCTGCGGGCTCCCCAGCACAGCCCCAAATACCCTGCGTCGGTGCCAAACATGCATGGACTTTCTCATCACGTCCTGATATAGTACAGTAACTATTTATAAAACATTTACCTTGCCAGGCAGCCTACATTACCTAGTGATGTCTTAAGAGTACACAGAAGGGGCTGGGGATGTAGCTCAGTGGAGCCGCCGCTGCCTGCCTCACAAATGCAAGGACCTGAGTTTGAGCCCCGTACCACAAAAAAAAAAAAAAAAAAAAAAAAAAAAAAAAGTATACAGAAGGTGTACACAGGTTCTATGCAAAGCCTGTGCCATTTTATAATGAAAACTTAAGGAGCCATGGCTTCTGGTATCCCCCAGATGTCCCAGGATCCTGGAACTCATGGCCATAGAAACCAAGGAGGGTTGCGCAGACTGTGGTCTGAGCAAGGATGGCAACAGCACAGCCTGAGCACAGCACAGGCTGGGCTCTGTGACCAGCGACACTGCACTGGGGACCCTGCAGGTGTGGACTGGCACTGCACATTGCAATCCTGACTCAGCCTCATACTGAAGGAGAAACTGAGGAGAAGCACTAAAGATTACCAAAACTCTGTGGGTCCTGTCCCAAGATGATCTGGACCACAGCCACCCTGTGGGCACACTGTCAAGAGAGATACTGTAGTACTCAGGCAGGCAGAGGCAGGAAAGAGGGACAGGTTGTGTGAGAGAAAGACAAGGGCAGGTACCAGGCATCCTTACAGAACTACAGAACACCAGGGTGAGAGGGCCTGGCCGGCTTAGACCTTCTGCTCCTGGGTGCTGAGCCAATTTCCTGCTGGGAGGTGCAGAAGAGGAAGGCAGCTCCAGGAAGGACAGCCAGCCACTGCTAGACCACAGGTCCCAACACCACCGCCCACCACCTGGAGAGGTGAACCTTCTGGCGCGGAAAGCCGCGGGGGGGGGGGGGGCACACCAGTGCCGGGCTGGATAAAGAAACCCTTTTATTTTCTTGACTCTGCTGGCACTATTTCTTTTTTTTTTTTCCCTCTATTACCAGGAATTGAACTCAGGACCTTGCACTTGCCAGGGAGGTGAAGGACTATTACTTTCTTAATTTAAGAAATCAGTTTGTAAAAAAAAAAAAAAGAAGTCAGTTTGTTGGGCCAGGGATGTAGCTCAGTGGCATGGCACCTACCTTGCAAGAACAAGGTCCTGAATCTGATCCCCAGTGCCAAAAAAAAAAGCCAGTTTAAGAAAAGTGGGGGTGTGGTTAGAAAGAAACAAAAACTGATATTTTTTAGAATGCTATGGTCTTCTGCTTCTAAATGGATGCTCATGAACATAGCAGCTGGGCAGGCTGTGACTGTGGGTCCTGAAGCCTGTACTGGGTGTGGGCCAGGCAGGACAGGAAGGGCCAGACTGGTGGGACAGCCGCTTCTTCACTGCTGAAACGGCTAGGTGCTATTTTTGACACATGAGGGTTTTTTTTTTTTGGTACCAGGGATCGAACTCCAGTCCTTATGCTTGCAAGGCAGGTGGCAGAATCACTGAGCTAAATCCCTGGACCCAACACATGAAGTTTTGAAAGCAAGACATGTCCTTTTTTGGGCCCGGGATTTAGCTCAATGGTTCCACCACCTGCCTCGCAAGCTCAAGGACCGGAGTTTGAGCCACAGTACCAAAAAAAAAAAAAAAAAAAAAGTTCTTTTTCATAACTGGATGCTGGGTACCTCAGCCATTCTTGTATTAATCTTTATACCTGTGAAAGCACTATCACTTTACATATGTGAAAGAAGCCGGAATACATGTAAATAAAAAGCATCTTGCGGTCTCCCTCCCTGCCCAGGCTCCAGAACTCTGCCTGCAGCAGTCAGCAGTGTATGGGGCTCACTCACTCACTTGATGGACACACACTTCTCCATTTCGTCCTGGAAGTCCTTATATGTCCTGTGAACCTCACTTTTCCCCCAACTAAACAAAGTATCTACAAAAAAAGGATGCAGCATGCGCAATAGCAACTACAGAGAAGCTCCCTGCAGGGCCCTAGGCAGAAGTCAAGGAAGCAGCAACAGGAAGAGGAAGCTGCCCTGTTGTCCAGCAGCCGCTGGCCACAGCGTAATGTCCAACTGCCAGGGACCCCACTTCCCGGAGTGACGATGTCAGGAAGAGCAAGCACCAGATGTCTGTGGCCTGGGCGTGCACAAGCTCAAGTGAGCATTAGGTCCAGGAGCAAGCAGCCAGCTGTGTGGGTTCTGCTTTGGGGGCTGTGTGTGCAAAGCATCTTGGAAACAGCTCAGCCGGGTCTTGCAGATGCAAGGTCTTAAGTTCAATCCCTGGTATCAAAAAGAAAAAAAACCAAACGAACCAAACCAAAACAAACAAAACACCCAGCTCGGCTGAGTTTACCATGTGGGTTTTCCCTGAAAGCACTTACTCTGCACTAGAACTGCAGACTGAGACACGCTGACACACAGCCGCGGCTTGTTCCTGCTGGCTTGAACCACTGGTGGTGCAAACGGATCCAATCACTTTCCAGTCTTTTTGCTACTACAATGAATAAAAGGCCGCCTGACGGGACAAGTGTGCGTACACTACCAGTGGTCCAAGCCACCCAGCAGTGAGACATGCAAGTTACGGCCCCACTGGGAACGTGCTCGGTCACGCACACCTGCGGCTCACACGCACAGCTGCCATTTGCTCTCACTGACAGCACTAAAAGGTTCATCATCACTGTGGTGAACACTTCTTGGTCTCCTTTCCTGCTAGCCTGAATCACTGGAACAGGTAAAAGATATAGACTGTAAAAGTAAAACAAAGATTAAAGTGCTTCACTCATTAACACTTCATGAAAGGCAAGGAGAATAAATAAAGCTTTAATAATGAAATCCCGAAGGCAAGCCTAAGAAATCAACAACTGTCTGTACCTGACAAGCTATCAAGCTTTGGCTCACAGAGAACAGAGGCAGAGGGAGGAAAGCCACAATGTCTACCCACTGAGACATGAGACTCACCACTTAAGAACACACTCCTTTGGCCAGGAATAGTGGTACACACCTGTAATCCCAGCACTTGGGAGGCTGAGACAGGAGGGCTGCCCCAAGTCCAAGGCCAGTCTGGGTTATATAGTGAGTTCAAGGCCAGCCTGGACTGTACAATGAGACCCTATCTCAAAAAAAAAAAAAAAAGAAGAAAACAAAACTCCAGAACTGGATTGTGCTGATGGCGGCGCGACTTGGCAAACTGACTAATCCACTGGACTGTACACTTAAAACGGGTGAGTTTTATGGCACATGAATTATACCATCATAAAACCATTTCCTTTAAAAAAAAAAACAAAGAACTGTGCCAAGTGTAGTGACCCACATCTGTAATGCTAGCTACCCAGGAGGCTGAGGCAAGTGGACTGACTGCAAATTCCAGGCCAGCCTAGGCAATTTAGCAAGACGCTACCTCAAAAAATACAATAAAAAGCACTCGGGGTGTAGTTCAGTGGTAGAGCACTCGATTATCACATGTGAGCCCCTGGTTCAATCCCTAATACAGAAGAGAGAAAAGAAGGAGGAACCCCTGCACCCAAGTGTATGACTCGATTAAACTCCCACTCACTGCTTCATAAACACGAAACGAAACTGGCACTTTCACATGGAGTGCACGGCGGCGAATACCTTAGTATGAGCAAAGCTTTATATTACTGAGCATCGTTTAATTCAGAAGTTGCCTGAAAGGGTCTCCAGGACTCCCTGGGTCCACATACCGCACTTTGAGGCTTGCCATTTTAGCAGAAAAGAGAACACAGAGGCTCTAAAATGAGCAAAAGCAACACTAAACATTAGGAAATGCTACTCTAGAAAGACACCTCCAGAAAATAACAATGTTGGTGAGGATGTGGAGACCTTGAAACCCTGTGCACTGCTGATGGGAATATAAATGGTGCGGCCACTGTGAAAAGTTTAGCAATTCCTCAAAAAATTAAAAATAGGGCTGGAGGTTAGGTGAATGGCACAGCACATGCCTAGCACGTATACCAGACCCTGGGTCTGACTCCAAGTGCTAGGAAAAAAGAATGACCATGTGTTGTGCAGTTCCATTTCTGGGTCTCTAATCGAAAGGATCAAATGCAGGGCTCGGAAGAGACGCTTGCACCCCATGTGCACCACAGTCAGAAGCAGAGGCAATCCAAGCACACACTGGGAGGCGAATAGACAAAATCCGGGCTGGCCAGATGCCAGAACATCCTTTAACTTGAGAAGGACACCCCAACACATGCTACAGCAGAACATGAAGGACCCTGAGGACTATGCTGCACAGCAGAAGTCAGTCACAAAAGGACGCGCACTGCGTAGGCAGATACGCAGGGGCAGAGGGGGATGGGGCATGCTGGGCAGGGCAGAGATTAGGAATTGTGGTGTCCTGGTCTGCAGTTTCAGTTTTACAAGCTGAAAACATGCTGCGTGTGCATGGTGGTGACGGTTATATATCATCTCTATTAAATAACACTGAACCACATATTCAAAAGTGGTGAGGATGGAAAATATTGTGTTTTGTGTATTTCACCACAATTTTTACAAAACGTAACAGAATCAAGGAGCTCTGGCCTTTGGGCCAGAGAAGGACATGCCAGAGACCCACAGCAGGACACAGTGCAAAGAAAGCAGTATCTGTTCTTCCGTGGCTAGAACCTCGGGTCGGGTTCACCTGACACACAAGAGGTAAAAGCACCCCATTAAGCAATGACTCTGAAACATTTACGAGTCATGTTTCTGGTATACTTTGCTGCCAATGGTCATAAACATTAATGTGTGCACTACACATTAACCTACAGATGACGACCTGTCACGGACATACAAATGACAACATTTAAAAAAAGACTTTCAAAATTGACTTAATTCACAAACCATAAAATACCCCCATCGTCTGAAGTATACAATTCAGCAGTCTTCAGTACACTTACCAAGCTGTACAACCGTCATCACCATCTAGTTGCAGAACACTCCAGCACCCCAAGGAGAAAAGCCAGTACTTGCTCACTGCAGGCTCACACCCTCAGCCTGCTCAGTGACCAGTGCACTTCCTGTTTCTGCGGAGTCGCTTGTTCTGGACATTTCCTATACATGGGCTCACACGACATGGACCTACTGGACTGGCTTCTGCCACTCTGCATGTCCCCAAGGCCCCTCCAAGCTGCTGCCTGTGCTCCCTCTCCTTATGGCCGAGTAGGATGGGCGTTCTGCTTAGCCACTCAGCATTTGCACATCAGGCTGTTCCTTCTCCTTGGCCGCTGTGAACTGTGCTGCCAGGAACTCCATCGTATGAACGTTTTTAATGGATGGTGTTTTCATTGCTCTGGGACAGATATCTACAGGTGGAACTGCTGGGTCAGTGGCAACTCTATCCTTTACCTTCTGAGGAACAGCCAGACCATTTCCAAAGAGGTCAGCCGCACCATGCATGGTACAGACCCCAGCAGTGGGCGAGGGCTCCTGGATGTCCGTGTCCTGGCCAACACAGCAACTTCGCTTAGGTTTTAAAGTAACTTCTCTCGTTACTGCAGAGATCTTAAACCGATGCATCTCAATTTAACACCAAGCTTATAAACTGCAGGTAAGCAAAAACATCTATATCCAAATAAATTTCTCATAACTAAGAAAAAGCAGATGTTTTAGCAAACAGAGAACTGAACATTTTCTTTCATACTATACCACATCACAGAATGGACAGAGCAGGGAAGAAAGGTAGGTATACTTAATTAACACTCCTGAAGCAAGTGACTGAGCCCGACTAAGTCACAGAGCGTCCCACTGGCCCTTGCACAGCAGACAGCCCTCGATGGCCTCACTCATGGGAGACCCCAGCTCAGCTGAGTCTAACCTGGGGGACACCAGTGTCCCACCCTGTGCACCCCGTGTGACGTCCATGGATGGCGGCAGCACTCCTGTCCTCGTATACCAGATGACCCCAGAGAGCCGGTCTGTACTGCTAGTCATGGTCTCACTCCATCTGTCTTGTGCTTCTGGGGTGCAATTCCGAGAACCAGGTCAGTGGTGTGGGTCCATGTCGCAGGCCCCACCAGACGGGCACACTGCTGCTGAGGCCAGAGCACTGCACACATAGCCTGTGAGCAAGGCTAGTCCAAACTGATGCATGGACCTCAAGTGCATGTGCAGAAGCTTTTCTTTATCTCTTTAATCCAGAAATGAGATGGAGTGATGTCATTTGTTCTCATACCACTATGAGAAAGAAGTCTTGTGCTTCCATTTAAACTTTCTGAAATGAATACTTGAAAACCCAGAGCTCTGAAAGATCTAACAGGACACGGCAGTGTTGTGCAGCCCCAGATGGCTGTGAGATCATCATGCAACCATCTCTAGGGCACAGGGCTAGGTCGGTTCCAGGTCCACAGACCAGGCAGGCCCTCCCTGGCCGCCTTCTTGCTGGGGCCCGCACACACGGACACAAGTGCACGCATCCCAGAAGAGCCTCTTGGCTTGAGAGACAGGGTTGTTTACAGGCCACACAGGGCAGAGTCTGCCCTGGTGGCAAAATGGAATTGCACTGCCCCCCTGTGGAAGCTCCGGCCCATCCCTCCCAACCAAGGAGGATGCCCGCCTCAGCTCTCTGCCCCGCCAGGCCCCCTTCCTGCCAGCATCCCAGACGTGCTCTGGGTCCAGGAGAAAGAAGTCTGGCCTCCAGAGCAGGGGTCTTTAAGGTACTAAAGAGAGTGAACACAGGATATTTTGTACCTTTAACCTGGTCTCTGAGTGGTATGGAATTTGGTATTGGTGGAAGAGGAGTGGATAATGGTGTCACAACATCTGGAAAAGAAGTACAGGAAGCTCTTGTGAACTTTAGACTGCACAAGCAGGCTGGCCACTGAGCAAAGTCATCTAAGGGCAAGAGAAAACATCTTCCTACCTGTCCAAGGAAGACGCTCAACTACAAGAAATATACCCAGATTATAAGTGCGCACTAAAGAAACCCTTCCTAACCAGAAATTCTCTTTTCCGAGTCTCTCAAGACTTTACAAAACAAAACCAAAGCCATGACGCCATCGTACCAGAGGGGTGCACACCCATGTTAACGTGTTAGTTCTAGTTTCTAAGCAGGGTCTTTCAGCTGCTCCCTGCCGCAGCTCCTTTGCTCACAGGTCGCCCTGCAGCAGGCACCCTGTGCCTTCAGAGCCCTCCCTCGCCACAGTCCAGCCCATCACAGTGCAGGACGGCCCGGCACATCCTTCAGAAAGTGGCCACCTCTTACAGAGTGGTGAGCGTTACGGCGGTGTTGGAGTACTCAGTGCCACAACTCAGCCAGGCTACACCGGGTGCGGCAGGCCTAGAAGCTCAGGCACGGGCCAGCCAGATTGCTCCCTGCCTGGCAGCCCCACAGAGGCCAGGATGAGCAAGGCCTCTCCGGCCGCCAGCACCACCACCACCACCACCACCTCCACCACCACCTCCTGTGCCTGCCCCGGCTGCCGTTCAGGCCCCACAGACAGTTACCTTTCATGAAGAATCGGCAGGTGGGGCGAGGCCTCACCTTCCGGTCACTGGGGTCCTTCACTTCGCCTTCTTCCAAGTCGTCATCCTGGAATAGAGGACACTGTCTTACCAAGGTGCAGCCTTTGCCCATGGCTGCCCTGACAGGAGCACAGCAGCAGGGTGAGGGTGCTCCCGAGACTTCTCCACCAATGCTGTCAGTGTTCCCAGTCTCCGGTCCTCACCTACACCCAGGTGCAGAGGGCTCCATAAACACTCTGTGGCACAGAGCCCTGTACAGAGCAGGGTTGTATATTCTCACGGAACTCTGGGCAAAAACATTACACTTGCTCTTTAATATTTTGTGTAAACAAAATTTATAGAAGTAAATACTTTATGTTCCTGAAACACTAACTTCCTCCAATTTAAAAGTCTTGTGAGAGCCTGGCACAGTGGCACACAACACTCTGGGAAGCTGAGGCAGGAGGAACACATTGTTCAAACTCAGCCTGGGCTACTTAGCAAGACCTGTCTCAAAAAAAAAAAAAAAAAATCTTGTGAGGGAAGTCTGGTGACACAGCTCTGTGACATCACCTTGCAGCTCGCTCTCAGTGTAGAATCCCTAACCTTGCTGTCCAATTTAGGGGACCCAGGAGCTCGACAAAGACCAAAGCATGCACCTCACCCCAGGGATCCTAACCAGCACCGAGACTCAGCCGGTGCTCCATGGCCTGTGCTCCATGGCCTGTGCCACGACCTGGAGCTGGCACTCTCACCTGTGCCTGTAAGCGATGCCCATCCTTGGCCCTCAGCCCACACTGGCATTCAGTGCCCTCCTAACAACCCTGGCACAGGAGGAAGAACAGAACAGGCATGTCCCTAAGCTTCCCAGGAGATCTGCCTAATGAGAGCCAGGACACCGAGTGGAGGACCTGCACAGAGCCAGGGAAGGGCCAGGTGTGGGAGGAGAGGCCGTGGGCAGCAGGAGGCAGCCCGGCTCTGCTCACCCCCCAAGGTGGTCAAGAGGGGCCAGGCGGCGCTGCACCTGCCTCTCTGTACAGCTCCCTGCACGGGACCACTCATGGAGGCCTCAGCTGGCGGGGACATACTGGTCACCATAAAAAGGTGCTGTGTGCAGCTAGCCCATGTCCTGTGTGCAAAACTACCCCAACCACTTCACAAGGGACAGCACCCAACAGGTGTCTGCCCCTGAAGGACACTGGCAGCACAGAGAACTGTGCTGTAAAGCGTATGATTTAGACAGAAAAGCTCCGAAGGCTTACTATACAAACTGACGTCCCAATCAAGGAACTGGACCCCGAAGAGAAGAAAGTGACACAGCCTGAGGGAGGAGGAGTGAGAAGCTACTGAGTGTAAGGAAGGAGAATCCTCGGGCAGAGGCACATTTTTCATGGACTTGGCGCTCACTAGTCTACCTCTCAGGCACAGGGCCCAGGCTCTCCTGTGTTGCTGTGCGCCCTGCTGTGGAGCAGCACCCTCAGCCCCCACAGCGCATCTACTTCTGAAGGCGAGGCCAACTACACATCCTTCTTCTGACAGTGAGCTCCACTGGAATGTGCACTTAGTACTCACAGAAAGAGACACTTCTGGGACTTCAGGTAAAGGACAGAGCCAGAGCCCCAGGGGAAGCCCTCAGACCCAAGAGCAACCCTCAGCTTCCTCTGCAGTGGATGGGAAACAGGTATGGCAGCAGGAGCGTCTCTGAAGAAGAGACAGTGTGCGCTTGGGGAGATGGCAGCTGCTGTTGGGGTGACAGCATGGACCTGGGCTGAGAGCAGGAAGGAAGCGGTGCCCACAAGAGTAGGATGCCACACACAAGCTGGGGGCACACTGTGCAGGATGCTCCGAGGGTAAAGCTGGGTACAGACTGGCTCTGCACACACCGGCTCTCCAGGTTAACGTGCCCCAAAGCAAGAGGGAGTCAAGTCTGATCAAATGTCACTGACGAGATGTCTACATGCCAGGTCCCCGGACAGAGGGGAACCAGCAAAGCTCCTGGCCTGGAAGACTGTGTTCCTGGGAGGAAGGGACACAGTCAGGTGCAATGTGGTCAGCACAACTCAGTGCCTCTCCCAGAAGCACAGTGTGCGTGTACGTGTGCAGGTGTACATGTGAAGGTGATGCACTGGGGAGCAGTCCAGCACTCAGACTCAGCAGGAAAACAGCAGGAGGCAAGCAGGGCACTTCTGGACAAAGCATGCTCCCACAGGGGCTGAGCTACCACCTAGCCTGTCCACCACCCAACTGGACAAAGTGCTGTCCCTGTGGCAGGACAAGCCCGGCACATTCCAGGGTCCTGGGCAGAGCAGACAGCAGAGGCCACCTTCGGTCAGGAAGGAAGCAGCTGCCTGCACTGGGAGACACTGAGCTGGGGCCCCCACACTGCGTCCAGCAGCGCTCTGAGGCCTTCAAAAGGTGCTGAGCAGGGCATGCAAAACAAACACATACACACCACAGGACAGGTAAAGGTCTGAGGAAGTCAAACTAGAGACTCACTCTACTCGTGCTCTCTGGGGGGGACCAGCAAACCAAGACCCCAGGGCCGTCCAGGTGGCTCAGCTCATCACCTGCTCACAGCCCACACCCGTAGTGCAGCTAAGTCACCAGTGAACGCCTCCACCATGATCCCAGGAAAGCCTGGACCTCTGACGACCCCCACAGCACTCAAGAGCCAGAGCAGGAAGGGGCTGTGGGAGGTGCCCAGTGCACAGGCCCACGGCAGTCTGGGTGACTTCTCAGAACTCAAAACCCCGAGCTCATAGGCAACTACATCCCCCGATCTCACCCAAACTGATCAGCCTGAGTCTCACAGCACCATCTCCCCTGGCCAGCACCTGGGTTCAGGAGAATTTCCCACAGTGGCAGCACAGATGGCAACACATGAGGAAGTCCACATGACAAGGTCCTGCCTTGCCTTGGAAGGTCACATTACCAAGGCATCAGCTCAGAAGACTTCCTTCACATGTGACAAGAGGCCTCACAGTCAGGCTGGCAGCCACCTAGGCCCCAGAGTTCAGCTCTCAGGAGCCATAACCAGGTATGTGACATCTACACCTAACCCCACCCAACACAGCCAGGGCCACAGACTTCCAGAGGTAACCTCTCAAAAGAGACTAGGGCATGCGAACCAGCACAGAGCCAGAGGGGGCCGGCACACTTGGCACCCTCCCCGCCGCCCACCCATCCCCAAGGGATGTTCAGCACCTTGGTCACTATGACAACCTGGGTGGGCAGAGAAACCCAGCACCATTCCAATCTGCCTGTACCCTCGGTGACCCTTTGAGTTCAATAGCTCTGAAAGGTACTGCTCAGCACTTGAACCCATTTCCTCCATAACACTCCCAATTCAAGTTCTAATAGCATCACTTGCCACAGAAACTGACTTCCTCTTCAAGTAGGGTCCCATGATCCTTGAGGTCCTTCTCAAGGTGAAGGCCAGACTTACAGAAGCTGCTAGAGTGTGGGATTCACCCGGGCTCAGCAAGCCAGCTGCCAGCAGGCAGATGTGTCTCTGTATGGGTCCATATCCCACGCTCAGGTGCACCCCAGCCCCGCCTCCTGTGTGCCTGTCTTCGGCCCCCACCAGTGGGGCTGTCGACCATACTCACATCTATCTCCCCATCGTCAATTTCCCCATCATCGTCATCTTTTTTTTTTTCCTTGGCAGCCTCCAGGGGTTCCTTTACTCCGCCACTTTGGACAGTGGGCTTCCCTTCCTGGGCAGGCGCGCTGTCCCCCTTCTCCTCCTCATCCTCAGCCCCGGCCTTCTCAGCCTCGTCCTCCTGGACGGCAGGGGCCGAATCCTCAGGGACCTCCTCGTCATAGTCCAGTTCATGCTCGTCCAGCTCCCTAGTCACTGAGGAGGCCTCGTCTCTGAGGTCACTCGTCCGGTCTTCCTCGCCTTCACCCCCCTCTTCTTCACATGGGGAGCCCGTCTGGCCCCTGCTTAACTCATGAGCCTCCAAGTCCTGATCCTGGGACTTGGGTTCACCAGCTCTGTCCTCCTCATCAGAGTGGTTCTCCTCCTCCCGGCTCGGTACCGGGGCTGCATTTTCCTCATTCTCCAGATCAGAAGCCCGCCCCGCAGCTCCGTCCAAATCCTGATCCGACCCACTTTCCCTCAGAATGTCATCGTCTGAGAGTGTCGGCTGTTCCTCTTCGTCCTCTAGGGAGTGAGGATCCCGTTCAGGGCTCTCGGCCACATCCATCGGTACCCACAGTTCTGCAAAAGAAACAACAGAGGCTCAGAGTGCAGCAAGATGGGAGTGAATGAGGCTGCTTCCTGGGGTACACAGCTCCACCCCACACCATGCCACCTGCACCACGAGGCTGGAAACACTCAACTGTGCAGCTCGGAAATGAGGCCGTGACATGAGCCCAACATAGCACTCCACTCTCACACGCAGGGCACACTTAATAGGAGTGACAAACTATGGACTGCAAGGGACAGCTATGTGGATCCGCAGTACAACACACTGAAAGTGGAGAGGCTGGAGTCTGCGCCCAGCATGGTTTGCAGGCCTCTCCTGGACGGCGAGCTTGGAGTGCTGCTCCAGGACCTCACAGCAGACCATGCAGCCTGCCTCCCACAGTGCCAGGGGCCACACGGGCTCCAAGGACACAGCAGAATCACAACCACCACACGTCCACAGGGGTGTGTGTAGTGCAGAAGAACTCTGGAGAAAAGACTACACATTATGTTGCTTGCTCATACAAAAGACTAGCAGTGTCACCTCACAAGATCTTGTTTGATTTGACTAATTCAGATTTAATCATAATGTAAATGTTTTCTAGTTTTCAGGCCTCAAAATCTCATAGGAGTGCTGCTCCATTTGTGTAAAACAGCCCCAAAGGGGATGGTATCTGTATGCCAGTGCTGTCCCCACTGGCACACAGTGACAGGGGTGACAGGGTTTGCTCCCACATCACTTTTCAGTCTGTGAGGATGTAAGTTTTTATTTAAAACAAGGTGTCAGGGTCAGGCTATTGGGTGTCTCAGCAAGACCTAGAAAGCTCACTCGCTCTAAGATCACGGTTGCAGGTTTACACATAGCAGGTCATATGCAGCTGCATGTTTCATACATTCTAAGTTTATGTTTACACGTTAGAAATAAAAATATATCTAAGTTTCTAAAAAGACAGCCTATAGAAAACAGGGCGGTCAGAGCCAGACAGGATTAAGTTGCAATGTCCGTATATGCCAATACCCAAGAAAAATATCACTATTAGATATCATAAACAAAACTAGAATGAAAAAAAATCAAAAAGTAAATAAAAGGACAACCTGTTTGAAGATAGTGTCAAAATCTGGTATATAATATAGTGTGTATGTATATATATATAATATATATATAATATATATAATATATATAGATATATATATATTGCTGTTAAGCAATTATTATACCTAAAGACATGTTAAAATATTGTTTAAAATTCACTCTATAAATACACAATAATTAACAACAATATAAATTTACAAATCAACCAATTAATCCTAAGCCACTCAAAAGCAGACAGTTGTTCTTTGTTTTTAGTTTTTGAGATAGGGTCTCACTATGCAGCCCCAGGCTGGCCTCGAACTTATAATCCTTCTATAGTGTTTACATGTTAAGACTGTTCTGCCTGTACAGATGTGGATAACACATTGTTGATGAATACTTGTTGAACAGTGTTAAAAAAAAAAAGAACTTACAATCCTTCTGCCTCAGCATCCTGAGTGCTGGAATTAAAGGTGTGTATCATCATACCCAGCTAAAAGATTAAAAAAAAAAAGACCACTTTTTGCCATCTAATTACACTCTCCAGAGGCAGGACAGTTGCAGGAAATGTTAACTCTGAAGCAGCAAACTGCTGGCCTGAGAAAGTCAAGGAGCCCATGGCCACAGCTTCAGGATCTCCACCAGGCACTGAAGGAGCATGGGGGCTTAGTGCTCCCCTGCAGCAACGCAGTGCCCAAGGATGAGGGCCACTGAGGGCTGAGACACTCTCACAGAAGGCCAGGTTACGACAAAATCCATAAACCACTACTTAAAAAGCAGTGATGACCACATGGGTGAAAACTGGTGACCCCGGCCATTCATGTTGTGATTTTAAACTTGCCTGAAACTTATTATCAGACATAAACTAAACATCAATCCAGAAACAGAAGTTCCCAAAGGTGCTTTCCCCAACACAATGACACAAGGAAGTACTGACCCAAAGTAGAACCCAGGAGGCTGGGACATGGCACATAGTGGCTCTGAGCTGCAGGCCTCCACGTCTGACCTCCAGGGGTGCCCATCAGCTTCTCCTGACCCCTGGAGGAGCTTCTACAGCTCACCAAGGTGGTACAAGAGCACCTTCATTGTGCCAGTTGTCCATGAGGCCTTCTGGGGTCCTGGACTGCTCTGTGAATCCAATGACAGGGGTGAACCCTCTCCCTAGAAAATCCTAGATGTATAAAGTCTCTCCTGCTTCAAGGAGTCTTAACCCCAGGTTAAGAGTTCCTACCCTATCATCATTCACTATTCTGCTGCACATCTTTCACCTACCACAATGTGTCTCAACAATTTCTTTACAAGCATTTTTGAGACAAGGTCTAACTAAACTGCCCAAGCTGGCTTGGAACTTGTAATCCTCCTGCTGCAGCCTCCCAAGTGGCTAGGACTGTAGGTGTGCACCAATGCCTAGCTAGAGCTTGGATCTTAAAATCCCCCAAAGATCCCTGCGTTACAGTTTCGATCTTCACGGAGTGCTACTGAGAGGCATTGAAACAATGAAGAGATGGGGCCTAGTTAGGCTTCTGTAGGTCACTGGGGAGATGGGGTGTGCCCCAAAGTGAACCTCAGGGTCCTGATCCCTTCCTCCCTCTTTGCACCCTGGCTCAAGATGAGGTAAGTAGCTTTTATTTTTGTACCAGGTATCGAACTTGGGACCTTGCGCTTGCAAGGCAGATGGTGGAACCACTGAGCTAAATCCCCACCCCACCCCACTTTCTTTTGAGACAGGACATCTCTATGCAGTTCAAGGTGGCCTTGAGCTCACCTGGTGATCCTCATGCCTCAACCTACTGAGTGCTGGGATTATAGGTGTATGCCATGATGCCCGGTCACGTAAGTGGTTTTGCTTCATATATTAGCTTGCCAGCCAGTCAGACTAGCACTGTGAGCCACAACAAACCTTTTCTTTTTATAGGTTGATTATCTCTGGTATCTATTAGTGATAGAAAGCTAGCACACTGCCTGTAGGTTATGCAGAAGGGAAGGAGGGGACTCAGAGGCACTTCCCCTTCACTGAGCTCAGCACAGGGCTGACACTTAGTGGTCTATCACCATAAAATGCACTGTCGGAACTGAGACACTTCAGAGACCACAGGAGCATCATTAACAATCCTGACAGGGACGGTCAGGGCTGCCCTGCTGCCCTGGGAAACACAGTCACTTTGAGGAGGAACTGACAAGTTCCCTGAGAAAGAGGTCACACTGTCTTCTTTCCCCTGGAACATGCTGAGATTTTGGGAGGCTACACTGAAGTGAACACTTCTCAGAGCAAAACTTGCCAATGAAACTATGCATTTATTATAAGCAGCCTGAGTCACACTTTGCACACAAAAAGAAGGAACATCAGTGGGAATCAGGAGGTGGCATGAGCTCCAGTCCTTACCTTGGGCACATGAACTGTCTCTCTGGGTATCAGTGTCCTCTGTTTTGAGAAATAGTCTGCATGACAGATATTTGTCACTCTGTTCTACGTCAAGGAAGGAAAACACTGCCTATTCAGGGTAAGTAGCAAAATGAGGGTCCTCTGGTCAAGCTCAACCAACTCCAGCCTACAATTGTTGCTGTAACTGAAGATGCTTGGAAAGGTTTAGAGATAAATCTTTAGCTCTAATGCATAATGGTGAATGTGCTTAGGAACAGAGTAACAAAGATTCCACATTGTGTTCCTGCTGTCTATTACATTTTGCAAATGATACCCGATAAGTACTTATTGAATTAAAATCTTATTATTTAGAAGCCAGGCATGGTGGTGCATGCCTTTAATCCCAGGACTTGGGAGGCTGAGGCAGGAGGATTGCCATGAGTTCGAGGCCAGCTTGGGCTACACAATGAGTTCAAGGATAGCTTGAGCTACATAGCAAGACCCTGTTTCAAAAAAATGACAACAAAAAAACTTATTTAAGGAGCTACCTGTTATACATCAGAAAGAGATGTCAAATAAACGCCTAATTTGTAGAAGACACACAAGAACTTAAACACAGAGTGGGTACCATCTCTCTTCCCAGGAGCCAATGGCCCTAATGTACACAACACTTTCAGAACTTCTCTTTTCAAGGGAACTTCAGAACCTGCAAACACTCTTTTGGTGCTCTCAGAGTGGCAAATCTTCCTCTTTACAGATGGGTCACTTTGAGAAACCGATCTGGTGAGATAAGTTACTAGGCCAGGTGAGATAACACTCGCTCTGCTAGCCATTGTGAGGCATGCCTATAGTCCCAGCAAGGAGGATTGCAGCAAGTTTGAGGCCAGCCTGGGCTACATAGTGAGTTCAAGGCCAGTCTGAATTACATAGTGAGGCCCTGTTTAAAAAAAAAAAAAAAAAAAAAAGCTGCAGGGCGTGGTGGCACACGGCTGTAATCCCAGCACTCAGGGAGGCTGAGGCAGGAGGATTGCTGAGAGTTCGAGACCAGCTACACAGTGAGTTCGAGGGCAGTCTGAACTACATAGTGAGACCCTGTCTCAAAAAACAACAACAAAAAATGAGAATCAAGACCTATCATGTAAAGGTACAGGATCCCAATAATGAATGTAACTATATTGTATACCTAGATTGTACCAATAAACTCAATAAAAAGAAAAAAAATAATAAACTTAAATATGCTTATGCCACAGGAAAATCAACTTACTTTAATATACTGTAAAAAAAAAAAAAAGATAACTCTTGCTCAAACATGGGGTGTGACTTCCTCATTTGGCTTACAAATTACTACTTAAGACAGTTCTAAAGATGTTGTGGTCAAGGGCCATCAGTGAAGTACAAGCACAATCTTTTGGGACAATTACTTTTAGTAGAGCAGTCCTTATTTGAATGGCTAAATTCAATACAACCATTTAAAACTCATTTCATAATTTCATGGATTAACAATGTCTAAAGGAGGGAGAGCAAAGTTGGTAACAGACATTACCCCCAAAGTAACGAAGTCCAAATACCAAAAAACTCCTCAGCAAGGAAGTACTTACCTTAGGAGGATCTGTAGCTGTGAAAAGGAGAAAAATCTCTTTAAACATGAGCAAGGCTACAGCTTACCTGTCTGCTCTGGAGTGACTCCATAAAGCTTTCTTACATTTGTGCATTTCCACCTACAACAGGAGAGGAGTTCCAGGCTTTGGGACACATTTGACTGGTTCCAGAGTTGGCTGGGCCCCACACAGGTGCTCAAGTCACGCAATTTATCATGCCAAAATATCTCCCGCCAAGACTGGGAAGTGGGAGTGGACCTAGGTCCTGGCCTATCCTGAAAAGCCTAACCGGGACAAGCAGGCAACACAGTGGAAATAAGACTCAAAGGAGAAATGATGAGTCTTGTGACATCCCACAAAGTACTTCAAGTGTCAAACTCCTCCGGCTTCCAGTTTTCCCTGAGAGGGTCTGAAAAATGACCTGCTCTCACAAATGAGTTTGCTAAATAAAGCTCATTTAAAACGATCAATCTCCGTGCCCAATAAACTGAACTGTCAAAGTATTCGGGAAAAGTTAAGTTCTAGCAGAAGCAAGACTGTAGGTCTCGAAGTACTACTTTTTTCCAGCATCACAGCTGCAGTTACTTTATAGGAAGGACCTGGCATCTCAGAGCTCCCCATCAAAAGGGCAAGTTACACACTCTTAAGAGGCCGGCGCGTGTCCTGAGAGATAGTAGGTGAGTCCAATCTATGAGCACTTGGAAGCTCTGGGAGCAAGTTCCAGCAAGCTCCGGAGAGCTAGAAGTTCTCCGGAAAGCACATCCACAGTCCTGGCGGACCTCCTCCGGAGCCGACCTGCCTGCCTCGGCTCCCGCTTTGTGGTCGACAAACATGTGCCATGCGAGTGGACCGGAAGAGAAATGACAGCTTTGAAAAAATCAACTCCGCCGCGGGCCGGAGACGGCGCGAGAGAGCGCGGGCAGCCGAGCACCACAGGCCGC